TATATATATATATATATATATATATATATATATATATATATACGTTTATATACGTATATCTCTATATACATGTATATAAAAGGGACAGTAAGGGGACACCAGTATATGTATAGGTATATAAATATATATGTATAGGTATATGTATATGTATATATAAATATATATAAATGTGTCTCCTTACTCAGAGAAGATAGCAACAGTCATAACAAGGAAGTGTAGGGAAGCAAGAGACAGTACGGAGACACCCCATCCTCCTATCTTTTGTATAGATTGCCAAGAATAATCAAAAAATAAATCAGGTAAATACCAATTGTCTCTTAATGCTAGAGGATCTGCATCTATTGCCTGCATGCACATATACATATATGCATGCATACATGCATGCATGCATGCATTCATGCATGCATATATATATGTAATTATTATTTATTTATTATTTATTATTGTCTATTTATTATTTATTATTAGTATTAAGGACGGTGTATAAGGAGACTCTGAGGAGACAGATGGTGTTAAGGGAGAGATAAAAGGAGACAAAAGGAGACAGAAGGAGACAGGAGGAGACAGAAGGAGACAAAAGGAGACAGGAAGGTACTTACACCTAGGGCTTGGCTATTACAGAGATAAACAAGAATAAGAAGAAGAGGGAAACTATATCCAATAGCTAATTGGAGACAAAGGAGACAGTAGGAGACAAAAGGAGACAGGAGGAGACAAAAGGAGACAGGAGGAGACAGAAGGAGACAGAAGGAGACAGGAGGAGACAAAAGGAGACAGTAGGGGACTTACAGCTAGGGCCTGACTATTACGGAGATAAACAAGAATAAGAAGAAGAGGGAAACTATATCCAATAGCTAATTGGAGACAAAGGAGACAAAAGACGAAGAAATTAGGGAGAATAATAAATTCAAATGTTCTTCTTATATTAATAAAAGAAGGAAAAAAATAAAAAAATAATTTATCCAGCCCCAATTTATTATAATTATTATTATATCCTATACTTGCATGCATGCGTGTATATATTTTTTTTATTATTTTCTCTACTTTGTTTGCTAATACATTATTATAACATAAGCCGCTATTTAATAGTATTATATCTGGCGAAGAAGTCCACCAATCTGCATCCTCTATTAGTTCAATATTCTCTATTATACGGACAGAACGGGATACAGACCTGTATATACACCCCAAAACCCTAAACCCTAAACCCTAAACCCTAAACCCTAAACCCTAAAATTTTAGTATTTAATCATTAACACTATTAAACACCCAATTTATAACACCAACACAATAAACACTAAATAATAAATAATAAACAATAAACACTAAATAATAAACACTAAACCCTAAACCCTAAACCCTAAACCCTAAACAATTAAATCTTATTAACCCCGCATATCCCCTTCTTCTTGTCCCCCCCTCTCTCCCCACCCCTGCAGTAAATAAATAAATAAATAAATAAATAAATAAATAAATAAATAAGACTTACTTATAGACAACAACTTGTTTATCTTGTATATGTTGTATATAATTATAATAATTATAATTATCTTGCTCATTAGTAGATAATAATACAAGTCTAGATTGTGTACTTATTATACATTGTCCTGGGCAATGTACTGCCTCTGCCTTATTATTTATTGTCTCTATTGTATACGAATTACGTAAATCTACACATACTTTTAGCATACATTCTTGTATTGAATACCCAAATTCAGATAATTTAGATTCAGACATATGCTGCATCCATACACACCCAAACCCTAAACCCTAAACCCTAAACCCTAAACCCTAAACCCTAAACCCTAAATTGTAAATTGGAAATTGGAAATTGGAGGAAACCGTTGAGACAGGAGACAGATGAGAGTTGGGACAGTCAATAGGAAACACTAATCCCTTAACCCCTGATAGTAAACCCTATCCTCTCTAAACCCTCGTGTGTAAACCCTAAACCCTAAACCCTAAACCCTAAACCCTAATTAGTGTTATTATGATTATTTTTTTTTTACCTCCATCTCCAATCCATGAGTTCTACAGAAAGAAGCATAACGTAATTCTAATTCACATAGAGGAGTAGGCTTAACAATATAAAAGGCATTAGATTGGCATACAGCATCTGCTGCTGATACGCTGCTGCTGCTGCTGCTGCTGCTGCTGCTGCAGCCTATCTCTGAATCAAACATCCCTAGGAATACTAATTGACAGGCCTCTCCCTTCTGAAGAGACACACAAACAAAGGGGAAAAAGAAAGGGAAGAAGAAGATAAATATAAACATGCAGCCCCAATTAACAATATATGCATGCATGAGTGCATGCAACAAACGCATGCAAAGGAGAACACAACTGGAGAAATTCCATGCACAATAATGCATGCATGCAGAAACTGTCTAATAATACTGCCTCATAATGCATACAACACAACCCATGCATGCATGCATGCAAATATGGATGGATGCATGCAAATATGCATGGAAGTATGCATGCATGCATGCATGCATGTATAACTTACCCTGAATCTTGTATCAACATGCCATGCAAAACTTCCTGTATTAGGTATAGGTTTACTCCAATGTAGAGGGAAGATGAATTGTTCATTATGATGATAAAAAAGCCCCAAAAATACATGCTCTGGTCTATTAGGGGATTCAGGCCATATCCATTGTACAAATAGATCAGACCCTTGGAGGACGGGCCTCCCTGGACTGTCTCTAACGAAACGAGGAGACAGGAAGGAAGAAGAGGAGACAGAAGGGGTACCCGATACTGCCACACTCCTACGTCCATCACCGTAACCAACGGAGACACGGGGAGTACGTAAGGAGACAGGCGAAGAGGAGACACCCTCACCACCACCACCACCACTTAATAAAGGGACTGCAGATACGCATACACACAATATACACAAAAACGGAGACAAGATACAATTATCCATGCATGCATGCAAACGAGAGATACAGACACAAGACACTATAATGCATGCAAGACTGCATGCATGCACGACTGCATGCATGCAAGCAGCAGCAGTCCCCTTACTTTGTAGGGAGTCTGCGTCAATAGGTGTAATGACACTCCGTCTGCTCCTGAATGCAGATCTGCCGCCGCTTGGTGCTCTCGCTGAGTCTGCTGCTGCTGCTGCTGCTGCAGCAGCAGCAGAAGACATAGGAGACCCTCCGTCTCCAAGCCCCAATTGAGAAACTATATCCTGTGATGTCCCCTCTACTCTCGCGAATCGTGTACGTCTAGAGGGAGCGGCTTCTGCAGCAGCAAAAGCCCCAAAATGCATGCAACATATTATAGCAAGTGTCTCCTTTTCTTATATATATATTAAGTGTCTCCTTTTGTGTTATATAGACTAACATCCCTGTATTCCCTTGCTGCATAGCAAAAGAAAAAAGTGTCTCCTTTCTTTCCTTTAAATAATAAAAATGTGTCTCCTTGTGTCTCCTTTTGTCTCCTTATGTCTCCTTGTGTCTCCTTTTGTCTCCTTGTGTCTCCTTACCATGCATAGGTTCTTCTCTTATACGAGCAGCAGATCTTGCTGCTAATGCTGCACCCATAGGTTGGAAGTCTGTCTTCTTACGTGCTCGTCTCCTCTGAAAAAGAGACGCTTCTTGCTCCTCATCCTTCTCTACATGTCTATAGGCAGCAGCAACAGCAACAGCAGCAGCAGCAGCAGCAGCAGCAGCAGCATGCAGCATGCAAATAAGGTGCTACAGTACTTGATGCTACAGAGGGAAAAGAAGAGCAAAAGGAGACACATCCATGACATCAAAAGGAGACAAAATAATCCCAATCTCCTGTCTCTCCCTCTTTCCCTGTGTATATAGATACAGAGACAAAGGGAAAAAAGGGAGACAGGGTATAAACCCAATAATAAATATAAATCCCTATTCTTTTTTTTTTTTTTTTTTTTTTTTTTTTTTTTTTTTTTTTA